TGATCCAAGTTCCCATATATTATGGGTGTACTAAAGGAATCAAGATGGCGAAAAACCAGAAGTCCGTCACCGGAACTGCGTCACCGAGCTCCACCCGGAAATGACGTCACTGCGCTCTACGCGTTACACCACGGACACGTGGCTTCTTCCGGATAGCGCATTGGATGACAGTACTTCCTATTTATGCTAACTAGGTGATTGCTCAGGAGGAGTGTCCTACTCCATTTTCTTGGAGCCCAATCACAATACATATGGATGATTATATATACTCTATAAACCGGCCATATAGAAACAAAACAAAAAACATATTAACCCATTTCCAATGAAGATATAAGTGAGACTATACAGTCTAACCTAAACAAAACTAAATGTATCAATTTATTAAATATATTAAAAGCTGCATAGACTCACACCTGAGTGAGATATATAAAAATTCCCTTTATTCATAATATTCTTTATATGTAATCATTTTAAAATTATAACTTTTTCTATATAAATACCTACAGCAAACTATGAATAGCACCCCCCCAAAAATCTTCCCACAAAAAAATGTATTAAATTAATACCGATAAATAAAAAAAAAAAAAAAAAAAAAAAAAAAATATATATATATATATATATATATATATATATAAAATTATATACATATAAAATATAAAAATATAAATAAATAAAAAAATAACCCAAAAAAATATTTATGTTATTACATCAGCAGGCTCCTTACGTTCACCCATAACACATGTTCACATACAATCATGAACATATTATTAAATATTTTAATTAAATGAAATACACTGGATAACTATAAAATATTAAAATAATATTAATCATTAATACATTATTTTAAAACCATACTACAATTATCTCTCTGTAACCAAGTGGAATTAAAAATCACTAATGAAACAGTTAAGGTCGAATTCTACATTTAATCCTCTAGGGGTCAGCGTCTGCATACAAAAAAATCCACCTAGACTCTGCCTGGCTAATGGTTCTGACCTTATGGCTCCCTCTCTCACTCAGGTGTATATCTCACTCAGGTGTGAGTCTATGCAGCTTTTAATATATTTAATAAATTGATATATTTAGTTTTTTTTTAGGTTAGACTGTATAGTCTCACTTATATCTGCATTGGGAATGGGATTATATGTTTTTTGTTTTGTTTCTATATGGCCGGTTTATAGAGCATATATAAGGATTCATATGCATTGTGATTGGGCTCCAAGAAAATGGAGGAGTAGGACACTCCTCCTGAGCAAGCACCTAGTTAGCATAAATAGGAAGTACTGTCATCCAATGCGCTATCCTGAAGAAGCCACGTGTCCGTGGTGTAACGCGTAGAGCGCAGTGACGTCATTTCCAGGTGGAGCTCGGTGATGCAGTTCGGTGACGGACTTCCGGTTTTTCACCATCTTGATTCCTTTAGTACACCCATAACATATGGGAGACCGTGGGTTTTGTGCTTGGATCATGTGAGTTGCTTATTTGGTTTTTTATTTTAATAAACTGACATATTACACTATGGAAGTTTTTCTCTGCTTATCCTTCCATGGCCCTGATATATATTGCTGAGCCTGGCCATGCCTAATTAATATTAAGTGGATATCGGTGTGATAGAGGTGGTGGTGTGGAGCCATTGGGACCAGTATTACCAGATGGTAAAGAATATAATTGGTGTGGAACATCATATCAATATATGATTTGTGTCCCTTAGGGGTTGAGTGAATGAGGTGAGGAGGCACTCTAGCCACTGGAGAATACAAGCACTAGAGTGACCACTTTTTTTTAGCACATTTTGAAAGAGGAGGAAGATAAAGCACTTTACACTTTTAAAGAGTGTGTTAGCACAAATTTTTGCACTTTATTTTGGACTGATAAATTGATTGTTTACCCTAACACTTGTCACTTTGTTCAGTGATTGTTCACTGTGTATGAATTCACGTATATTAATTTATTTATGGTATGTATATTTATTTATATTTTTTATAGCACCTGTCACTTTCTATACACATAGTGTGTACACTTGTCACTAGTTTTAGCCACTGGGTGGCAGACTGATAGTTTGCTTGGTTTGAACACGATTTTATACATTTGAGCACTAGTCACTTTTATAAAAAGTTATATATTTTGTAATTATATTTATTTAGTATTAACATGTTTAGTACCCTCATTGCTGAGTGCTTCATTCATTTTTAGATATTATTTTGTCCCGTGGTATAGGGTTTAGATGATAGCAGCTGGCTTTGTGTAGTTACTCTGTGGAGCGCAGGAGGACTTCCTTTTTAGTATTTAAACTAGCATCAAGGGGGAGGGGGAATTAGATTATATTGGGGCAGACAGATCAGACAGGGGTCAGTCCTTATTGGTGGGTGAAATGGGGAAAGATGGGGGGAGGGCTATGGCAGGTGATAAGAAGGTTCCCATGTTACAAACAACCATTGGCATTGGTACCATTTGTATGAAAATAAAACATATGCAAAATATGTGTGTACAAGGTGTTAATGCATTAAAGTGTTTGTTCACCAATGCTACAAGTCTACCAAGCAAAATAGGTGAGTTGGAAGCTTTGGTGTATGAAGAGAGCTATAATTTAATTGGTACTGCTGAATCTAGGCTTCATTCGTCACGTGACTGGGTCATTAATATTCCTGGCTATGTTCTCTTTCGGAGAGACAGGGTAAAACGAAAAAGTGATAGTGTCTGTCTCTATGTGAGAAGTGATCTCAGAGCAAGTTTGAAAGAGAATCTAGTTGATGGAGAGTGTGATGAGGCTGAAGCATTACGGGTGGAGCTGCACATGGAGGTGTGTAGTACAAAGGTAATCGTTTGATTTTGTTATAGGCCTCCCAGTGTTAATGAGGTGGTGGAGACTCAGCTCCTTGCAAAGATCAAAAGGACTGCAAGGGTTGGGAGAGTGAAAATAATGGGGGATTTTAACTACCCAGAAACTGACTGGAGTAATTCCACTGTAGGAACAGTTAAAGGGCAAACATTTATAAACTTACTACAAGACAGTTCATAGAGGCTCCTACTAGGAATGATGCTCTGCTGGAGCTGGTAATCTCAAACCATGCAGAACGTATTACTAATGTCCATATAAAAGAACATCTGGGTAGAAGTGACCATAACATGATTTTATTGTTAGCTGTAAACACTAAGCACATACGGGAAAAATAAAAACACTCAACTTTAAGAGAGCTAATTGTCCAAGGCTGAGATCTGCGCTCCAAGACTTAGACTGGGGGGGAATATTGGTATCGATGAACACAACACAGAAATGGGAGTTCTTGAAAAAGACCATATGTGAACACACTGCAAAATATATTCCCATATGGTTTAAATACACAACTCAACTTTAGGGTTTTCTTGAATTGAGTAATTTGTAACAATTTGCTGGATTTAATATGTCCACATTGCTATCTGACAATGTGGGAATATATTTTGATTTAAAATTCATTTTGAACACTATCTTGAGAAATTCTATTTTTGAATTGGGCCTTTTCCCTAATGTTCTTTAACAATCATATGTCTTTCTATGTGGTTTTGATTTTAATGTAGTGATGTTTTTTCAACACAAGAGGGCTACGTAAATGGTCTAAAGCGCAATTAAGGCACTATATAAGGCAATAGATGTGTAGTCCCCTCCCAGTTCTGATGAAGTCTGCGATGATTGGCGGATGAAACGCATCAACGTAATGACATCATCACGCTCGGCATCTTCATAGGGTGTGATATCCACAAGGAGGGAAGAAGCACGAGATGCAGCTCCATCTGGGATAAGCACGAGGCACAACAGAATATGATGAGGCAACCGTTATAAGGAGTCTTTTGTGGGCGATTTAAGAGACACAGCTCACTTCCACCGGTGGCAAGTAATACTCTGTTTGGCTGAGTCACTTTAGACCGCAATTTCTTAACAGGATTATATCCCAATGCCTGCTGCTGTTTGCCTTAAGCCCTAGTATGAAGGAAATTTTTGGACTCTAGCTGGTATATATATTATACTATGTTTTAAACGGTTAGTGATATGGGATACTAGTCTCATATACACCTACAGGAACTGCACCATTTCTCTAATAAGAGCAATTTTTGGAAACCCTATTTGGTTATTTACACTACGGTACTTAGATGCCCGCATGATTTTTTGGATTATCTACATAGACTACCTGGATCTCCACCCCCCTATTCATAGCATAGGAATTTTTAGTCACTAATCCAGTGAGAGGGTATTATCCTGATCTCTTCTATGGTAATACATCATATTTTCATTTTATTTTAAGTATCACTGAAATCCTATGTTTATTATTCACATTTATTCACTTTTAGAATCATTTACTACTATGGATTCATTTCCAATTGGGGTGGTTACCCAGGAAGGTTTCACATCTTTACATATTCATGATGGCACAGCCCTATAGAAGGTAAAGGAAAGCCATACTAGGTTATCTGAGTATGTGCATCCTGTTTTATGTATGACTAGTGATTATCCCATGTTTCCCCTGCATTCATCATTTTTTTCCCTGATTTGATCCCTAGGAGTTCATCCAGTCTTACTGTGTTATTCTTAAAGGAACAGCCTAAGAAGAATTCTCTTCACTAGGATGTACTATATGGAACTTTACCTTTGATGTATGCAGAAAGGAAACTCCATTGCCTCATATGGATCCATTCTTGCCCATACAGCCAGTTTTGAAGACGCCGAACGGTTTCTTTTATTTTAATCCTCTGATTTTACTATGATTGCAACATGTTCACCATGTTAATGTCAACCTTCCTATGATCTATGTGATCCAATAAACATAATATTGCATTGAGTTTTTGTAGCAATATTACTCTGCATGGGATTTTAAGAAACCACTTTGCAGGCGGTTATGCACTACACCCTGTTCCAAATTATTATGCAAATTCTATTTAAATGTCACAAAGATTAAATATTTTGTTTTTCAGTTTAACTCATGGATGGCATTGTGTCTCAGGGCTCTCTTGATCACTGAAAACAATTAGATTGGCAGGTGAGCCCAATTTAAGGAAAAACTACTAAAGGAGGGTGTTCCACATTATTAAGCAGAGCACCATTTTCAAGCAATATGGGGAAGAAAAAGGATCTCTCTGCTGCCGGAAAGAGTGAAATAGTTCAATGCCTTAGATGAGGTATGAAAACATTAGATATTTCACGAAAGCTTAAGCGTGATCATCGCACTATTAAGAGATTTGTGGCTGATTCAGAGCACAGACGGGTTTGTGCAGATAAAGGCACATTGAGGTAGGGCAGCACAGTGGCTAAATGGTTAGCACTTCCACCTGGCAGTACTAGGGTCGTTGGTTCGAATCCCAACCACGGCACCTCCTGCCTGGAGTTTGCATGTTCTCCCTGTGCCTGTGTGGGTTTCCTCCGGGTACTCCGGTTTCCTCCCACACTCCAAAGACATGCTGGTAGGTGAATTGGATCCTGTCTAAATTGTCCCTAGTATGTGTATGTATGAATGTAAGCTAGGGACCTTAGATTGTACACTCCTTGGGGGTTAGGGACTGATGTGAATGTACAATATATATGTTAAGCGCTGCGTAAATTGACAGCGCTATGTAAGTACCTGAAATAAATAAATAAATTGAGGAAGATTTCTGCCAGATCCATGCATCAGATCAAGAGAGCAGCTGCTAAAATACCATTACATAGCAGCAAACAGATATTTGAAGCTGCTGGTGCCTCTGGAGTCCCACGGACATCAAGGTGTAGAGTCCTCCAGAGTCTTGCAACTGTGCATAAACCTTCTATTTGTTCGCCACTAACCAATGCTCACCAGCAGAAACGGCTGCATTGGGCAAAAAAATACATGAAGACTAATTTTCAAACAGTCCTGTTCACTGATGAGTGCCGTGCAACCCTGGATGGTCCAGATGGATGGAATAGTGGATGGTTGGTAGACGGCCACCCTGTTCCAACAAGGCTGCGACGTCAGCAAGGCGGTGGTGGAGTCATGTTTTGGGCCAGAATCATGGGAACAGAGCTGGTCGGCCCCTTTAGGGTCCCCTAAGGTGTAAAGATGACCTCTGCAAAGTATGTGGAGTTTATGACTGACTACTTTCTTCCCTGGTACAGAAGGAAGAACTATGCTTTCCGTAATAAAATCATCTTCATGCATTATTTGCATAATAATTTGGAACAGGGTGTAGTCTACTGCCATTTTTTCTGTGTTCAAATAATAGAGAGCAAGACCCTGCCTGTCGGAATGATGTAGGAGCGCTGACATCACCTGACTTCTCCCTCACGCATATTGTCACACACCATGTGACTTCATCAGAGCTACGGGCATTGGCTGTACTGAAATTGGGTGCCACTTGTGAAGGTCCAGTGGTGATTCATAAGGGGAAGAGTGCACAGAGGAGCAAGTTATGTGTTTACCCCCCATAATAGGAGAAAAGCTTTGTTTGACCTGTGTCCACATAAAGGTCCATACGAGAAGGTGAGAGTCGACCTGGAAGTCTATGTTCACTATGGTGGTTCACATGTATTGAAGATTTACAGCACTGGAATTTTGGGTGCAATCACCAGCAGGAAAATTTTTCACTTATTTGGATTTTTTTTTAGAAAATTATTAAATACCTTCTTCAGCTCTGTGTATACAAAGAAAAAAGGGAGAGCTCTTGTCCATAATGAGCATGGTATTGACACAGCCCCAGATGATCCACATTGGGTCACAACTGATTATGATTCAGAAATATTTAGACAGAATAAAGGTGAATAAAGCACCTGGACCAGATGGCATACACCCATGGGTCCTTAAAGAATTGAGCTCTGTCATTTCAAAACTTTCATTGTTTCTCATTTTTAGGAACTCTTTAATGACTGGCATAGTACCTCTGGATTGGCATAAGTCCAATGTGGTGCCTATATTTAAAAAGGGGTCAAAATCTTTACCAAGTAATTATAGACCTGTTATTTTAACTTCTATAGTTGGGAAGATGCTGGAGAGTTTAATAAAAGACCACATAGATGAATTCTTGCTGGAAAAAAATATTTTAAGCAACAGACAGCATGGATTCATGAAAGACAGAAGTTGTCAAACAAATCTGATTTCTTTTTATGAGGAGGTGAGAAAAACCTTGGACAGGGGTGGCGGTGGATGTGGTATACTTGGATTTTGCAAAAGCATTTGACACAGTTCCCCACACACGGCTAATGTGTAAGGTAAAGTCTACTGGCTTGGAAAAATCTGTATGTAAATGGATAGAAAACTGGCAAAAAGATCGTATTCAAAGAGTAGTGGTTAATGATTCATACTCTGAATGGTCTAGGGTTGTCAGTGGTGTACCCCAAGGTTCAGTGTTGGGACCCTTACTTTTTAATATATTTATAAACGATATAGGGTCTGGGATTAAAAATCCCATTTCAGTCTTTGCAGATGACACCAAGCTGTGCAGTGGAATAATGTCCTTACAGGATGTCTCCAGCTTAAAAGCCGACCTCAATGCACTGTTTAATTGGGCAACTATGTGGTAAATGAGGTTTCATGTTGATAAATGTAAGGTTATACACTTGGGAACTAAGAATATGCATGCATCATACATACTAGGGGGGAGTACAACTGGGGGAATCAATGGTAGAGAAGGATCTGGGAGTTCTGGTAGATCACAAGCTTAATAATGACATGCAATGCCAAGCTGCAGTTTCTAAAGCGAGCAAAATCCTCTCTTGTATTAAAAGAGGTACAGACTCCAGAGAGAGTAATATCATTTTACCCCTGTACAAATCATTAGTAAGACCTCATCTGGAATATGCAGTTCAGTTTTTGGCACCAGTTCACAAAAACGTAATTCACAAGAGAGGAAAGGTTTCTTCACAGTTAGAGCTGTGAAAATGTGGAATAGACTCCCTCAAGAGTTGGTTCTGGTCAGCTAAGTCGTTTGCTTTAACAAGGCCTGGATTCTTTCCTAGATACACATAATATAACTGGATACTAACATTTATAGGAAAAGTTGATCCAGGGAATGTCTAATTGCCTCTCGGGGGATCAGGAAGGATTTTTTTTCCCCTGCAGGAGCAAATTGGGTCATGCTTTGCTGTTTTTTTTGCCTTCCTCTGGAACAACTGTGGGTATAGGATTATAACTTTTTTTAATTTTTTTTATGTTTGAACTAGATGAACTTTTCTCTTTTTTCAGCCAGACTAACTATGTAACTATGTAAAGGGTATGTCAAGGCAAAATAATAAAAAGGAGGGTGATATACGTTTGACAATTTGTTTTAGGTCTTGAAAAAAGAATTGGGTGGGGACAACTATACAAGGTGTAGTTGTTGCAGACTCATCACCTAAAATTGATACAATTAAAAGCTTCTGCTCTGCCCTACAGCAGAAATATATATATATACCTGATTTGGCAGTTCCGGGTAGGGACGTGGCCTTAACTGTCAATCACCAGGGGTCTCGACCAGTGACTCCCCGTCGGCACCCGGCGATCTCCGAGGATTTCCAACGGGGGAGAGACCGGTATGTGAACAATACAGATCTCTCCCCTGTCAGCACCTGCACACTGCTTTGTATGGCTCTGCATAGAAGAGCCATACAAAGCAATGTGCCTACACTGAAGTCAAGTCCTTGATGCAATGATTCCAGTGAATAAACAAAAGTGCTCAGTGCAATAAATAGCTGCATCCACAATTAATATGAACCACAGTCCTCAGTAGAGCGAGTCCATGCTTTTGGTCCAGCGGCCATCTTTGTAAGTGCTGCCACAGTTTTCTTAATTCCATGTGGAGTGTATTTGTTTGTAACGATTTTAATAAATACTACTCTTGGGCTCTGTGTGGTGCGTTCTTTTTTTCAGGACACACTACTGAAGGCCACGTACCAGCTCTGAGAGGAGGAGATGTACATATCTTGGAGGAGCTTTTATTACAATCCTTTTTGACCTTAGTTCTGGTGAGTGAGTGCATAGTGGTGAAGGATTTCACGAATGTCTCTTTTCCACATTGGGATGTCACTTCAATCTACTTAGGACTGCGGTTCATATTAATTGTGGGTGCAGCCATTTATTTCACTGAGCACTTCTGTTTGTGCACAGGAATCATTACATCAAGGACTTCTTTTATTCATTTGAACTGTTTATTGAGTCACCATTATCAGTGATTGCACGTATGATATATATTTTTTGTATACCCATTGTCTTGATGTGTAGTAACATTCATTGGCTATTGTATCATGTTTCATCTTTATTTGCTGATTGGTTTTTAGTTTTTAGGTAGACACACCCATTTTTTTATATAGTGCAGCACTTTTGTTTGATACAATTAATTTACATGTATTGGGATTTTTTTTTTAGCAAAGACATGTAGCAGAATACATTTTGGCCTAAATTTATGACAAATTTAGATTTTTTTAATTTTTTACTGGACATGTTTAATAGCAAAAAGTCAAAAAAAATATATATTTTTTCATTGTTGGCCTTTTTTTGTTTATAGCACTACAAATAAAAAATGCACAGGCAATCAAATACCACAAAAAGATAGCTCTATTTATGGGAAAAAAAGGATGTAAATTTCATTCGGGTGCAGTGTTGCATGACTGCGCAATTGTCAGTTAAAGTAACGCAGCGCCATATCATGAAAAATGGCCTGGTAAGGAAGGGGGGTAAATCCTCAGGAGGGCAAGTGGTTAATAAACAGTTTGTTCACATACTATATTATAGCAATATAGTAAATTATACTTATTAAGAAAATGCATTTAATGACAACAGCAGCTATGGATATGACAGTTAACAACATTCCAGTGCCACCTATAGACAATACACAAGTTGGGACATTAATAAAAGTTGTGCCAGCAGCAACAAGAACATGTCATGTGCATGGTTTATGTAACAAAGTTACTTTATTTGAACCCACTGGCTGACATGGTTTACTTACTATTACTTACACACTATTACCTCCCTCTCTTAATGTTTAAATCTGTCTACCGTAATTGCCAACTATGGTGCTTAATTTGTATGGCAATTATTGTATTGTATGATTATTTATTGATTCCCCCCCCCCCCGCATACAATACAAGCATGTTATGATCACAAGTTGCTAACCATTGTAGAAGTATACCACTGGTTATGATTCATCCAGTTAAAACTAGACATGTTTTCTCAGCTGATCAGTATTTCATTCAGTGCAGACAGAGAGTGCCCTATCAACAAATCTAATTAAAGATACCACTGCCAAGTTGCGATCATCAAATGATTGCATTAAAAATAATGAAAACAGAGAAATATTATAACCACATTGTCACTCCTAAATAAAAATTAGAGAATTATTTTTTCGCACTAAGATTCATGGCCAGGATAATTTTTAGGTGGGTATTTTTACTTGACTTAACAAATGGGACCTCCTGCTGTAATGTTTCTATAAATATATCTTGTCACTTGTCTGGCTCTGAGATAAATGTGCTTCCAACCATTCTATTCCAATACTGGCCATTAACTTCTGACCTGTAAAGGTGTTGTTTTTTACCTCAAGATTTTCACAGTAAAATAAACAGTCTTTAGAAATAGGTACTTCACTTCAGTCTTAGTAAGGATGCAAATAGGACAAGCTCCAGTGATTCTCTGACAGAGTGCATTGCCTATGAAATGAGAATATGTCTATCAAAGAGAAAATGCAAACAAACGGCCTTTATATAGGAATTAACAACTAAAATGGATGCTTTGGGTGGCAATCAAACTCAAATAGACTTGAAACCATTTTCATTCTAAAACATTGATGTTTGCATGATCTGCTTATGAGGTCCCCATGTGAACATTGGGCATGATTTAATAAACTGTAAAGTGAGGTGAAATGAACATTACTTTATCTAAGAAACAGGTATTTAATGGGCCCTTAACTCCTGAAGGGAAACTATAGTATATTTTAGTGAGTGCACACATTTTTTAGTTATTATACGTTTTTAACTAGAAATGATTGTTGATGTGACCTTAGCACATATAGTGTATTTACAGTAAAAGCCCAATGTCTTCTTGAGCTATAGGTTTCCAAATCTGTTGCCCAGCAGAAGTTAAAATAGAATACATTTTGCTCAGCAGTAGTTAAAATAGAATAAGCAGCTTCCCCTGCAATACTCACCCTTTCAACATGGCTGCCCCCCTCCACCCCTCCCCAGGTTTATTGTTCACATCTCCATGACCGGCTCTCTTCTGGGTTAAACATTTGCTTAGCATCATTCAACCCTTTACTTGTGAGCCTCAAGTGTCATGGATATACTCTCTGGGTGCAGGCACAATCTGTGCTCTATTACTATAAGCAGAGTTCAGACCCCTTCAGTCTCCCCTAAAAGACCCCTGAAGCTGTCACTTGCAGTATGCTATCACAAATGTGGCTGAAAGCTCCCGTGTGCTGGCAATAAAGTTGAATTAACAAAAAAAAGAAGAAGAAAGTAGCATTCCAAAAATGAAAGCCTAAAGCAATATTAACCACTTCCCGCACACCATATAAGTTAATGACGGGCGCAAGGTGGTTCTCTCATTCTGGGAGGACGTCATATGACATCCTCCTACTCTAACTGCGTGTGCACGGCTCCAGGGGCACGCAGCGTGGCGAAAGGTAGTGAGCTGTGTCCCTCGCACTGATCAATGGAAAGAGCCGAAGACGTCGGCTTGGTCATGTGTCCAATCCCAGCTGACCACATGTAAATAAGGAAATGCTGTTTATCAGCATTTCTCTCCTCACTTGAGAGGAGAGCAAGTAATTGGCATTACTCAGAGGGGACATGTACATTGATCATCAGGGCACTGATGATCAGTGTGCCCTGATGATCAATGTAGCCCCAGCAGTGCCACCTGTCAGTGTCCATCAATGCCAGCTGTCAGTGATCATGAATGCCACCTCCCAGTGCCCATCAGTGCCACATCAATGCCACATATGAGTGCCTACCAGTGCACATCAATGCCACATATCAGTGCCCATCTGAGCTGCCTTTCAGTGCCACCTATCAGGGCCAGCTATCAGTGCTGCCAATCAGTGCCGCCTATCAGTGCCCGTCAGTGCTACCTATCAGTGCCGCCTAACAGTGCCAGTCAGTGCCACCTAACAGTGCCAGTCAATGCCGCCTATCAGTGCTTCCTATCAGTGCCATATATGAGTGCTGCCTTTCAGTGCCCAGCAGTGCCATCTACCAATAAATAATATAAAATGCAGCTCTAAAAAATAATAATTAGGTGCTAAAAAGCACTAGATAATGTGACCATAAGTGTCGTCCAATTGGTGACGAAAAAAATAGTGAATGGATAATCAACACATATACTGAATCACATAATCGTGAAATGACAAATAGTGCTAGGAAGAAAACAATATATATTATGACAATCCAAGCTATTGTATAGGTGAAACTCGAAAATTTTGAATATCGTGCAAATGTTCATTTATTTCAGTAATGCAACTTAAAAGGTGAAACTAATATATGAGATAGACTCATTACATGCAAAACAAGATAGTTCAAGCCGTGATTTGTCATAATTGTGATGATTATGGCTTACAGCTCATGAAAACCCCAAATCCACAATCTCAGAAAATTAGAATATTGCATGCAATCAATAAAACAAGGATTTTACATGGAACAATATCGGACCTCTGAAAAGTATAAGCATGGATATGTACTCAGTACTTGGTTTGGGCCCCTTTTGCAGCAATTACTGCCTCAATGCAGCGTGGCATGGAAGCTATCAGCCTGTGGCACTGCTGAAGTGTTGTGGAAGACCAGGATGCTTCAATAGCGGCCTTCAGCTCTTCTGCATTGTTCGATCTCATGTCTCTCATCTTTCTCTTGGCAATGCCCCATAAATTCTCTATGGGGTTCAGGTCAGGCGAGTTTGCTGGCCAATCAAGCACAGTAATCCCATGGTCATTGAACCAGGTTTTGGTGCTTTTGGCAGTGTGGACAGGTGCCAAGTCCTGCTGGAAAATGAAGTCAGCATCCCCATAAAGCTCGTCTGTGGAAGGAAGCATGAAGTGCTCCAAAATCTCCTGGTAGAGGGCTGCGTTGACTCTGGACTTAATGAAGCACAGTGGACCAACACCAGCAGATGACATGGCTCCCCAAATCAACACAGACTGTGGAAACTTCACACTGGACTTCAAGCATCTTGCAGTGTGTGCCTCTCCATTCTTTCTCCATACTTTGGGTCCTTGGTTTCCAAATGAGATGCAAAAGTTTTGCTCTCATCAGAAAAGATGACTTTGGACCACTGAGCAACAGACCAGGTCTGTTTTTCTTTAGCCCAGGTAAGATGCTTCTGACATTCTTAGTTGTTCAGGAGCGGCTTGACAAGAGGAATACGACATTTGAAGCCCATGTCCAGGATCCATCTCTGTGTAGTGGCTCTTGATGAAATGACTCCAGCCTCAGTCCACTCCGTGTGAAAGTTCCCAACACTTTTGAATGGCCGTTTCCTGACAATCCTCTCCAGACTGCGGTCATCCCTACTGCTTGTGCACATTTTTCTTCCACACTTTTCCCTTTCACATAACATTCTATTAATGTGCTTTGATACAGCACTTTGGGAACATCCAACTTCTTTTGCAATTACCTTTTGAGGCTTTCCCTCCTTATGGAGGGTGTCAATGATGGTTTTCTGCACAACTGTCAGGTCAGCAGTCTTTCCCATGATTGTGATTCCTATTGAACCAGACTGAGAGACCATTTAAAGGCTCAGGAACCCTTTGCAGCTGTTATGGCTTAATTAGCTGATTAGAGTGGGACACTTTGAGCCTAGAATATTGCACCTTTTCACAATATTCTAATTTTCTGAGATTGTGGATTTTGGGTTTTCATGAGCTGTAAGCCATAATCATCACAATTATGACAAATCACAGCTTGAACTATCTTGCTTTGCATGTAATGAATCTATCTCATATATTAGTTTCACCTTTTAAGTTGCATTACTGAAATAAATGAACTTTTGCACGATATTCTCATTTTTTGAGTTTCACCTGTATGGTAAATAGAAAATCTTGAGATACAAGCAGCCAATAGAATAAATGCATCAAATAATGGTGCTCGTGACTTCCCTGATAGGGAATGAAGTGTGCTTGCACTCACTGGAAGCACAATTTTAATACACATTATTATTATTATACAGGATTTATATAGCACCAACAGTTTGCTCAGCGCTTTACAATATAACAGGAGACAATACAGCAACAATACAGTTCAATACAAGAAGGAGATGAGGGCCCTGCTGCTTGAAGCTTACAATATAGAAGGGAGGGGCTAGTGGGACAAAAGGTAGTAACTGTGGGGGATGGACTGGTTGGAAGAGTAGAGGATTCCATTATTAGCTGAGGGCAGGATAGGCTTCCCTGAAGAGATAGGTTTTCAGAGATCGCCTAAAAGTGAGCAGAGTAGGCGACAGTCTGATAAATTGGGGTAGAGAGTTCCAGAGGATGGGGAAAGCTCTGGAGAAGTCCTGGAGATGAGCATGGGAGGAGGAGACAAGGGAGCTAGAGAGTAAGAGGTCTTGCGAGGAGCGGAGAGTATGGTTTGGATGATATTTAGAGACAAGATCGGTGATGTAATTTGGGGCTGAGCTATAAATGGCTTTATACGTTATTGTTAATGTTTTGAATTTTATCCATTGGGCAATGGGAAGCCAGTGGAGGGATTGGCAGAGAGGGGTGGCAGATATGGAACTGTTAGTAAGGTGGATGAGTTTGGCAGCAGCATTCATGATAGACTGAAGAGGGGATAGCCTGCAATTAGGTAGGCCAATGAGGAGGGAGTTACAATAGTCAAGGCGAGATATACCAAGGGAGTGGATAAGTTGCTTAGTGGTTTCAGAGGTTAGGAACGGGTATATCTTGGAGATGTTGTGGAGGTGAAGTCTACACGATTTGGACAGTGATTGGATTTGGGGCTGAAAGGACAGATGGGAGTCTAGGATTACACCTAGTACCCTGGCATGAGGGGAGGGACTGATGATTGTGTTATTAATCTTGATGGAGAAGTTAGGGAAGGGGGCACAGGCTGGAGGGAATACTAAGAGCTCAGTTTTGGAAAGATTGAGTTTGAGGAAGTAGAGTGATATCCATGCTGATATGTCACTTAGTATGTTAGTAATGCGAGTGTAGACTGAAGGGGTGAGGTGAGGGGTAGAAAGATAGATTTGTGTGTCATCAGCACAGAGATGGTACTTAAAGCTATGGGAGTTTATCAAGTGACCAAGGGAGGAGGTGTAGGTGGAGAAGAGAAGGGGTCCAAGGACAGAACCTTGAGGGACCCCTACAGAAAGAGGGAGTGAAGAGGAGGAGGCAGCGTTATAGGTAACACTGAAGGAGCGCTGCGATAGGTAGGAGGAGAACCAGGAGAGAGCAGAGTCTCTGAGGCCAAGAAAGTGAAGTTTTTTGAGGAGGAGGGGATGGTCAACCGTATCAAAAGCCGCAGAGAGGTCAAGTAGTAAGAGTATGTAGTAGTGGCCAATGGTTTTAGCAGTTAGTAGATCATTAGTGAGTTTTAGTAGGGCAGTTTCAGTGGAGTGTAGTGAGTGAAAGCCAGACTGTAAAGGGTCAAGAAGGTTGTTGTCAGTGAGGTAGGAGCTCAGGCGATTGTAGACTAAGCGTTCTAGGAGTTTAGAGGTAAATGGCAGCAGGGAGATGGGTCTTAAGTTGTTCAGGTTGGTGGGGTCCAGGGAGGGCTTTTTAAGTATGGGAGTGATGTGCGCATGCTATAGAGGGAGGGGAAAGCACCAGTAGAGAGGGAAAGATTGAAGATGTGAATGAGAGAGCATAGGATGGAAGAAGAGGGTGACTGTAATAGTTGTGAGGGGACAGGATCCAGGGGGCAGGTAGTGAGATGGGCTTCTGAGAAAACCTTAGTGACCTCTTCGGTAGTAGCAAGGTCAAAAGAGGAAAGTGTTGAGGGAGGCTTAGTATAAGGTATGCTAAGTGTGATGGATGTCTGTGCAGTGGCGATCCCCCTACGAATTTCATCAATCTTGTTTTTTAAATGATTTGCAATCTCGTGAGCAGTGAGTGAGGTACTGGGTGGAGGTGGAGGAAGTAGAGAGTTAGAAGAAGAGAAGAGACGAGGACTGGATGACAAGGTATTAATAAGAGTGACAAAGTAGGCTTGTTTAGCAGCATGAAGGGAGGAATTGTATGTTAAGAAAGCAGATTTATATCGGGTGAATGCTTGTTGAGATTTGGTTTTACACCACAATCACTCCAGCGCACGACATGTCGTTTAAGATTTCTGGTGTCGTCAGTCTGCCAAGGTTGTCATGGTCGGGGCCTGATACTTTGTGCTGTTAGAGGAGCAAGTGAGTCTAATGTGGATGAAAGCGAACTGTTGTAGACAGCAGTGGCCAGGTCAGGGCGGGACAGGGGAGAGATTCTGTCATAGAGTTGGTCAGTTGCAGAGTGGAAAGGAGCAGGGTTCAAGTTGTGAAGGTTTCTGTGGGTAATTGTTTGCTGCTTGGAGGGATAGGTGTTTGAAGACGAGGACACTGTGAAGGTGATGAGATTGTGATCAGAGAGAGGAAAGGGGGTGTTTGTAAGGTTGTAGGGAGTGCAAAGATGGGAGAAAACAAGGTCTAATGTATTCCCATCAGAGTGAGTGGAGGACTGTATACATTGTGCTAATGCAAAAGATGAGGTTAGGTTGAAGAGTTGGGATGTAGCTGGGTTGTTGACATTAATGGGGATGTTAAAATATCAGAGAATGATAGTGGGTAGTTCAGAGGAGAGAAAGTAGGGTAGCCAGGCGGAGAAATCCTCAAGAAAGCAGGACACCGGTCCAGGAGGCCGATAGATCACTGCAGTCCTCAGAGAAATGGGAGAAAACAGCCGGATGCAGTGAGTCTTGAAAGAAGAGAAGGAAAGAGAGGGAGGGTTAGGGAGGACTTGAAAGGTGCTCAGTGGGGATAGAAGCAAACCAACTCCACCACCTTTCTGACCACTGGGTCTGGGTGAGTGGGTCCAGAGGAGGCCTCCATAGGAAAGTGCTGCTGGAGAAGCAGAATCTGCTGCTTGAAGCCAGGTTTCTGTGATTGCTAGTAGGTTAAGGGAGCGGGAGACAAAAAGGTCATGGACAGAGGTGAGCT